CTGAGCCCTGGGCAACACCACTGGTGACCGACCCCAACAGGATTTAACTCCATTCACCACCTCTCTTTGGGCCTGGCCATCCAGACTGTTTTTTTACCCAGCGAAGCGTATGCCCATCCAAGCCATGAGCTGCCGGTTTCTCCATGAGAATGATAAGAAATAATAATTTGGAAGCATTAGGTATGTTTTAGAAACCTATTTATTAGGAGCAGCTGTGAAATTGCCTTTCCTCATATGAACCTTTTTCCCTCACTACAAACTATCAAATGTAAACACAATAATACCATGGAAAGCAGCAGCCTTTAAAGCAGGACGAGGCAATCATCTTTATTGCCTTTTTACTGATTTTATTAGGTTTATCTTATGTATAGATTTAGACAGTTGTAGGCAATTCCAAACATCTATTACAACAGAGGCAGTGAAAACGTAGTATTTATCACAGCGTTCCGAGCTTGAGCAGTTGCGCATTTCCTCATTTCTTGCTGCCCTTAAATTTTTTTTTTTTTTTTTCCTTTCAACCCTCGATGCTAGAGCATGGCAGGTTAAGAGAAAGTAAGACATTTGTGCTGGAGGACCGTAGCCCTTTCATGATGCCTAGCTTTGAAACTCATGGCCCTGGGGACGAGCAGTCTCTTTAGTCCTCATGTAACGTTAGGCAATAATTTTTGAGACAGTGTTGCCTTAAGAAAACACTTTTAATTGTGTTATAAAAATACCAACATCCCTTTCATAGTTGTCATGTTTTTTTAAAAATGGAGGCTTATTTCAGAATAAGTGAGCCTCAATGTAATATTATTAGCCCTTTTTTCCTTTTCTAGGGGTACGTATCTGTGCGTGCAAACTGGAGAGCTGTCTATTAAATTAATTTCCTCTCCACTCCTGTGACTTTTGTGTATATTCCACAAAAACAGTACTTGTGGCAACTGAAATGCCAGCGAAAATGCGTTGCTAGACTGTTCTCACCCCTTATGCATTTCTGGGAAACATCTCGGAAAAATAGATGAGTTTTGCATTGAACTGCAAATACAACAGCGCTTGGCTCTTGCCCTGCAGCCCAGTGGTCCGGCCCTGAGGCACTTCTGCAGGCTGGCCGGCCCGCGCTCGGCAAGAGCCGCGACCTGGGGTCTGCTTGCCATGGCCTGTCCCTGTCCGTGTCCCTGCCTAGTACCGCAGCAGCGTCGCGGCGGAGAGGCAGCTTGCTGAGCTCTCCCGGGGTCTAGTTCATTTAAGGATTCAAATATTTAGAAAAAAGAGATTGGAAGTTGGGAAGGCAGTGCCGAGCACAGGCGTTGTTAGGTTTGTGACTGCTCCCCGCTCCCTCACTTGGCCTCTTCCCTGTCTCCCAAGCAGCTGCCACAGCTCATGCCTCCTTGCAGTGATCCACAGACCGTTCCCTTCCTTGGCAAGCCCCTCGGGACGTTTCACAGCCTGTGCATCTCTCCATCACAAGAAATTAAATGCTGTCATCGGGTGTTTCTGCTACCCTATTCTACTTAAAGACTGAGCAGTCTTCCTGTCCTAGGAAGTTCAAGAAAAAAGCAGATGGGGGGCAGAGGTTGGTTGCCTGCCAAGGCACAAAGCGTTGGCCACCACGCTCTGGCACAAGCCCAAGATGTTGCTGCTTCCAGCCCTTTGGCCGCTCCTCCGTCTCCAACTGAAGTCCCTGCTCCGGCCACTGTCACCCTGGCTGGGCTTACCTGAAGGTGATCTCAGAGGAGAAGTCTCATGTCAGGCCGGTGCTTCAGCTAACCTAAAGGAGGCTGTGGGTAATGGTCCTCTTCACATTGTCCCAGCCTCGGATCTCCACTGCCACCGAGCTGGTTCCTATATTGGGCATTAAAACATCCCATGGTCCGTTGTGCCTGCAGGTTGCAATAACCCGCGGCTCTTAGTTCGTGTGTTCGCCCAGCGCTTGCCCTGGTGCTGCTAAGCCTGCTAGTGACTCTTAGGTGGTACCGTAGAAATAGTAATTATAATCAATCTTCTTTGGTGGCCGACAACAGCTTCCAGTGGCCTCTCTGGTAACATGAGCCTACCGTGATACAGGGATAACCACATCTTGCCACTTTTTCCACCCCTTAGCCCTTATGCAATGCAGCCGGGGGACTGGGCACGTCACGGCAACCCTAAGGTGACCAGAGGGTCTCTCTGAACAGATTAGTCGTAGTTTATTCTTAAGCTGCAGGTGGTTCTGATGCTTTATATGCCTGTTACATGCACAATTATGAGCAGAATGACCTTAGGAAGACTGAAATAAATACACAGAAACCTCTTGGCAGAAGCTGGAGGGAGTGACTGAAAAATGCTATTTTCATGGGTTTGAGGTAAGTGAAGGGCGAGTACAGTATAGTTCGCAGGAAGCCCGGGAAAGCCAGCATTGGTAAAGTTTCAGATGTGCTGCTACTCCTGTAATTCCATCCCTAAGCATTCTTAGACAGTTTGATCTGAATTTATTATATGCCATGGATGGTACTAGGGTAACTCACACTGCCAGACAAATTTCCTTCTTTTTTTGCTGCTGATGGTGATGTTGATTTGTGTAGCTGATTTTACATCTTGGTGGAGAGCTATGTATGCCATACGCACAACAGAGGCTTACCGGTGGCTAAGCAATAACATACAGGCCAACTTATCGTCAGTGTTTACATCATTTGTACCATGAAAAATACTCATTGAAAACTGATGGAAGAGGGAGCTGTCTGAAGGACTCACTGTTAGGTAAAGAAAATTTTGCTTAGCTGAATTTTCTTAAAATGAATTGAAAGACTCTGAAGGAATTTGTCCTAAAGACAGTTATGAATGGAAAGAAATTATCCTATAAATAAGATTCTTAACATATTTAACAAAGAAAATAAAGTGTCTTGTTGACTGATAAGTCAGGTCAGTCCCATGACCAAGTAGTCATATTTATGTGTTTGCATAATAAAAAATTGTCATCGTTTTGGCAGAAGATACATATTTGCTTTGTATTTGTTTCCCACAGGAGTTCATTAGACTGGGCAGTCTTAGTAAGTTGTCTGGAAAAGGTTTACAGCAACGGATGTTTTTTCTGGTAAGCAGGAAGATGTCTTTTCTTTATATAATGAAATGTAACTATAGCCAACTATTAGACGTACTGTCAGACTCAAATTGTGAATTACAGTAAGTATTTTTAAACAGCCTTACCTAAGTTAACATAATACATCACCTGTGTAGCTGGTTGTTAAGAACTTATGTTTCTGTACAAACGCAATATTCTCTTTGTAACTGTTTCTTACAAAGATAAGACTACTTATTTTTATATGACACTGTGAATATAATGATAAAATAATACCTCCTAGCACATTGTCTTAAAGAAAAGCAGAGATTATAAAAGTGGCAACAGGGTTAGAGATCATATCCAGAAAAGAAGATAAAGAGTAACTCCTGGTGATATGAATGATAATCCACATAATGTTCTCCAGACACATTACAGAACCAAGTTTCTCCACAAACCATCCAGTTTCAGCCCACGAGTGCCCAGCGCGTTGCTGGACCTGCCTTTACCTGGAGATGCGTTTTGTAGCTCTTGCATTAGGGAAGGTTCTCTCCTCCCACCATCACTCGCAGCGTTTTCAGGTGACGGTGATCCCACTCGGTCTGCGATCCACAAGAGCCGACCAGATGGGTTGTCCTCTCTTGTCTTCCTTTTTTTTGGGGAGCTGATTTGCTCCCAAGCTCCCCATCCTGCTGCTGCTGAGCCCTTGGTGCCGGGGCGCTGGGATGCCCAGCAGAGTGCATAGATTTTCTAGTCCAGTGTTACAGGGCAAAACGCTAAAGAGTCACTGCAGTATGGCAGGAAAATACTTCTTGGCTTCTTGTATGCAAAATGTGAAGACAGTGAGTGTGTAGAAAAGCTTGTGTGTGCCAGGGTTGACATTTAATCTTTCAAGTGACTCGAAGATATAGCCACTAAATCTACCTGGGTAGGATTATCCTCTGCCTTTAAAGGCGCTGAAGAGGAAACCTCATGAATACAGTACGTATTTTCTTGCATACCACAGTTCTTGTTATCAGGTGATGCCTCCATATTTTACCTGTATAAAACATTAAAAAGTTGAGACTAGACTCTCAAGTCAGTTGCTCGTGCTGTCAAAGAAGTCTTCGGTCTGTCTCAAGCACCAGAGTCTTTTTGGAGGTAAAAATCTCCGGTCAGTAGTCTGGGACTCCGAACGCGTGTAATCATTGGCAAAATTAAATCCCCCTCTAGTGGCTGCTCCCCTTGGCTTCAGGAATTACTGCTGTCGGGCTGTAGACGTCTGGGGTGAGAGCTCTCTTTCACAGCACAGAGTATGATTTTCTTGATGCAACTGTCTGGTTTGAGAAAAACATCCTTTGGCCCAGGTCGCACAGTGAAAATATGGCATTCGCTTTATGGCAACAAAACGCAGGCGGTTGTTTGACATGCTTTCGACAACCGCTGTGATGTGCAGGAAGCTCTACAAATTGAGATGCTCGATTCTCTTTGCCTTGATATTTCTAACCTAAAGCCATCTACCTTGAAACAGGTCTCCCAGCTTCCTTCTGAATATGGGGAGTGATAGATAGCCACTTACTTTGTAAGAGTTACGTCGGACAGACCTCTCCCGGGCATGCTTGCTTATCTCTGCACACAAAGCGGAAGAAAATATTGGTGAAACACCCTGATCTTCCGTAGCTTCACAGTGCGGCAGAGTGTGAAACGCACTACTTGGTTTCACTGCTGTTGTGGCTTGTTAGTTCTGACCCAGACATCACAAAGGGAATATTAGAAGACATCGGAAGATACCCAGTGGAAAATTGTGGGAACATGCCTGAGACTAGCTGGGAAGGGAGGCAAGGAAAATAACAGGTGCTAATACTAGGTGCTGGAATATTGTGGAAGCCAATATTTTGGATTCCTGCACTAGGACTGCCATATAAACAGTCAGCCAGCACTGGCTAGCTTTCCTGTATTTGCCATTCTGATTTATTTGGTTTTTTTTCTACATGCCTACCTGCCAACATCATTCTAATAATGCTTATTCTTGCTTTTTAGTTTAACGATATCTTGCTGTACACAAGTAGAGGCCTGACAGCATCGAATCAGTTTAAAGTCCACGGGCATCTTCCGCTGTATGGCATGACAGTAAGTATTGTGAGAACTTAAGGGATTCATGCTTAAATGGCCGTTTGTGCTCCCATCTTAATTGCTGGATGAATTTTTGCCGGAGCAAAAGCAGCAGCAAAGGGCTGTTCTCCATTGCAGAGAAGCTGTGGTTCCATTCTGCAGCGCCCGATGGGGCTGCGTTGGGCGCGGCGTGGGTTCATGCACCCTTCTACACAAAGGTGATCAGAGAGCAAACGGGGAGGGCGAGGAAGGTGTTTTGGGGGGCGGCGTCCTCATAAGGCAAACTTCTCGTGAGATGGGTTCGTTCTTTTTTTAAACCATACATTTAACCATGATTCTTACAAGTCACTCATCACTGTGCGAGGCAAGTGAATGGTAGCGACAGTCTGATTTCTGTAAAAACCCATTTCCTAATGTTTTCAGCTCTGTATCTTAAAGCCAAAGTAGTGGGAAACTGGCAGCAATACATCCTTTGGAGCTCTTGTTGCACTTCTCCGGGAAGACAGCCAATTCAAGCCAATAGCACTTAGCTACCTCTTCTTCTTATATGGTTTCAAAAGTATTTTTGCTAGTTTCAAAACATTTTCATTCCCCCCATTCTTTTCATTGGAACTTCTCATGGGTTTGTGTCTATTCCATGCTGTTTTCCTGAGGATTGAGGTCGGTAATGACTACCGCAGTCACTGAATTTCTCTAAAAACTTGCGAGGCTTCAAGTTTTATCTAACGTTTCTAGGAATCTACTCAATTATTGATGTCCATTTGGTGTGGTCTTGTTCACAACAGAGCTGTGTTATGCTGTGGCATCCAGAGCACTCCCAGCCTTTAACATATCCTTTTGTATGATGAATCACTCTTCTAATAAAAATACCATTATTTTCCTTTTTTTTTTGACACAAAGCAGACAAAGCCATGCTTTTGGTTTGAGAGGTTATTGCAGAACTTACTGTTTTGTTAACTTGCAAGTCACCATTATTTTTTTCTCAATACGTAGCTCGAAATTGTTGTTTGTGAACATTTATCTCAGTTTTTCTTTTCCGCAATGGTAAGAGCTTCTTCGGTTCCCTGTTTCGCCTTAAGAAATACGTACTTCCTGCAATCTGACTGCATTTATCTCTCAGATAGAAGAAAGTGAAGAGGAATGGGGGGTTCCTCATTGTCTAACACTACGAGGTCAACACCAGTCCATCGTTGTTGCTGCAAGGTAATTCAGGGGAGACAACACACACACACGCAAACTGTATTTCTCTGCAGCTTTCACAGTGGGACAGATGATAGAAAAGCAGAGAGGCGTCATTTTGTTTGGATTTACTCTTGAAACAATTTCAAAGGTGTATTCTTTTGTGAAAGCCACAAAATAGAGCAGCAATCATGGAAGTCAGAACCAAAACTATGTTATTAGGAAAAAAAACCTAGCATCTTGTGTCTGAATTTATTTATTTAAATTAAAAGTAAGCTCTGCCTGTGACTATTTTTTTTCGAGTTTGCTTTCAGCCTGTATGAAAGTGCGTAACACCTGACTTTTCATTGTTAGTGCCCGCGCTGAAATGGACAAATGGACTGAGGACATTCAGATGGCGATAGACCTGGCAGAGAAAAGCAGTGGCCCTGCCCCAGAGTTACTGGCCAGCAGCCCGCCTGACAATAGTAAGTAAGAGAGTAGGTTTTAGTCATGTTTGTCGGTATGATTAGTGATTGCTTCTAAGCAGAGCGGTGAAAAATGCTGGCCACAGGTCAAACTGATACATTTGATTTTTTATATATTGTATAGATTTTATGTATGTGCCATTTTAATGTTGTTGTTGATGTTAGCAGAAAGTTTCAGTGACTAGAGAAGTGACTTAAGCATAATGATTCCAGGAACTATTTAACAAGATTTGGGCAGTGCCTGTCCTTGGAAGGTATTAAAAGCACCGACAAAGCACGGTAGTTAGTCTTTGATTCTAACACTTGCAGAAACACGTTTAAAAAAAAAAACAAAACCCTCCTTAACATCTGCACAAAATTATTTCTAAAAGTGTGTTTTAGAATTAGTTCACAGTACTGTGGACAGAATTGATTTGTTTAATTTTTCCAATTATATATGTTGTTGCATAGAGGAAGAAAGATACTTTTTCCCTGCATTTCATAGAGTCTCCTGACGAAACTACTGTAGACCAGGAATCTGAGGACGACCTCAGTGCATCCCGCACCTCACTCGAACGTCAGTCACCACACCGTGGCAACACTACGGTGCACGTCTGCTGGCACAGAAATACCAGTGTTTCAATGATCGACTTTAGTATTGCTGTGGAGGTATCTGCCTCAGAACGATCTGAACTGCAGCTCCAGGCTGGCTCTCGAATGACAATTTCCTTTTTGCTCCTCCTTCATAAGTGCACTGTTCCATTGTCTCCTTCTGGGAAAGTTTCAGGCACACCTATTAAACTGACTCCCGTATCCTCAAATGATGGTGTAACCCATCAGTCAAGAAACGCGTGTCCGCTCCCATAGCGCATCTTTATAAAATCAGTTAGAGCAGTAATTTTCGTAGAAATAACTGTCCAAAAAAAAGGCTGATGCCCTTTAAAATTTAAAGCAGGTCAAACTGTCTTAATGCTTTCAGTCACAGAGGCATTAAGTCATTGCTCGAGCTGAAAGGATATTGTCTTTACCTGCTGCAGCCAGAGTTTTAATTATGTGTATTACTAACGTACTTTCTTTACCTAGCCATCTTTTCTGGAACCTTGTCTCATTGCTCAGTCTCATCTGCTTTTTCTTTATTTGCATTTTCCACCTCAAAATAAAAATCCTTTCCCCCCCCAGTCACAGCTCTTTCCCCCCCCAATCACAGCTAAGCCAATTTGATACACAGTCGTTAAGTCTGTACTCAACAGAGGAGATGCAGACATTGACTTTTCAAAGATTAAGATGAAAGCCTCCTAGTTCAGCGTAGGTTTTAGGAGGAGGTGGTAAGCCTGCTTAGGTGTTCCTCCTTCACCCAAGAGAGGCTCCAGGGCACTCCGAGTCCTTTATCACAGTCCTCGTCAAAGGGAAATTTATGTTCAGTGAAAATGGTAATAAAGCTGTGTTGCCTTGCGCTCACGAGGCAGCCCTCAGCCGTCAGGCCAGCGTTGCTCTAGAGAAGACGTACTGATGCAGAACGTAGAGATGCAAGGACAGGCCGTATTCATAGTTTGTGTAACCGCCTTGGTTTTTAAACAGGAGGCGTCTTTGTTGCTGATACGTGACAAAGAAAATTATTCTGTAGTAGAAAACGCTGACTGTAGAGCTTCATTTCGATCCCGTGCAGGTGGATTTTCGGCTCTTTATACCTTGTATCCTGCAAGGGCTGAATAGTTCAGCACGGAACAAGGTCTTGTGTTCTCCCCTAAAGCAGAGGGCTTATTGTCATTAGATATAAAACTTAAACCCATTCTAACAATTAAAACATTTAGTTAGATGGGCTGAGATGAGTGCTCTTTGTTCCTCCACGTGCCTCGAATGAATGCAAACAAAGCAGCGGGGACCAAACACACCCTGGAGACATACGTTGTTCTGTGAAAGCATCTTCAGCTCCACTGCTGTTCCATGCGTGGCAGGTTACGCTCATGCTCGCATCATTCTGTTGGGGGCTCTCACTTCAGCATTATCGTTTATTTTCTTTGTGTCTCTCCCTCCTTTCTGTCTCTCTCGTGGTAGAAGATCCTCTCTCTGTCAGTGACTGTACTTCCCTACCTGCTGGACTGATCAGTGATCAGCGGCCTGTTTCCATTTCATATGTCTGCTGGTACCGAATGCAAAGCCTGTCCTTTTATGATATCCTCCAGAGTAATGAGGTAACAGAAAATTAAGGAGTACCCCTGTAACTTAGGGCAAGGAGGCAGCAGTCCAGATATCAGAGAATGGGATGATTTAAAGCAAAGGCTTTAATGTATCTCCAAGGCTGGTGAAAACAGAACATTTGCAAGAATATTTCATTTGTAGCAGATACATCAGGGCCACCAGACTTTGACTATTAAGCTTGACTGATTAAGTTACCAGCTTCTGCATTGTATAAAGAGAATGATGTAAAGAGCTGTTTTCATCCAGGTGATAGTCCTGATGGTCAGCAAGGAAAGGGAAGTAATTAATAATTCATTATTAATTCATTAATTTATTAATACTCCCTTTCATTTGCAAGGCACAATGATACTGGACTTTACATCTTCACTATGTGAAGAGCAGTTTCTGCAGCCAGCCGTTACATGCTTGTACTTGGTTATGGCTTCCTCCTCCTTTTTGTTAAAATATCCAAGCTCCAGCTAAGAATAAGGCTAAAAGTCCTTGCTTTTGAAATCTTTGAAAAGTTATGGTGTGAACTCACTGGGTACTGAGAGCTCAGTCTCTATCTGCAATTCTAAACTATGTCATAATTTTCCTTTACATCACAAATTCATGTCAGACTTTCTGTTTCCATTCTATTTAGGTATCATTTGAAAAGAACAAAGACAAGACTAGGATAACAAGACTGATGTTTAGTAATGTATTACAGAAAGCCACCTCAATTAAAAAAAAAAAAACAAACAAAAACCCCAAAAAAACCAAAACCAACCAAAAAACAAGTGTAGTAGCTTGAAGTTTTTGGAAGTACCCAACTACAAACAAACGTGTTACATAAACTACTACTTAGTAGTAGAAAAATGCATCCATTCAACCGAAAGATTTTCACATACAACGAAGTTACATACAACCAGATAAAAGCAGATAATTTCTCTTACGATGATTAAACAGCAGGTACCTTTCAGTGTTTTATTTGGTTCCTTTTGATCTGTTTCAGAACCAGCTGTCTGGAAATCTCCTAAGAAAATTCAAAAACAGCAACGGGTGGCAGAAGCTTTGGGTGGTGTTCACCAACTTCTGTATGTTCTTCTATAAATCGCACCAGGTAACGGACTGCACGAGGGGGTGTGTGGCTGGAGGAGACCTTTTGGGTTTTCGAAGCGGTAGCAGAGAGCAAAACGGAGGTCGGTCACAGGTGCTGTAGGCGAGAGAAGCAGGTGCAGTGGTCATGGCTACGCAGCCTTTACTGCCGCTGGAGCGTGGAGCAGAGCCTGTTCGCGGCCTTGCTCGCTTGTTGATTGAAGAACGCGTGCTCGTTTCCTGAAACTTTCAACAGTCGCAGTCCATATCGTCCCTAAAAGTACAACAGCTAGCGCTACTGCTCAGAAGTTGTGGTGTGAGTTTAAGCAGGAATTTTCTCTCATACAAATTCTGAGATTAGTACAATTAAAAACCTAATAGTGACTTAGAAATTTTGTTTACCATTACTGCTGCTGAAGCCAAACAAGAGAGAGCAGCGGCCAGTGATTAATATATCTGAGCAAACGTCCCACTGCAAAAGGGGATGCTGCTTCTGTCTGGAATCTGTTGGACTTTTAAATCTCCATGTTTGAGCAGGGCATAAGGGCAAAATAATTCCAGTTGCTACGTCATGCTTTCATTGCTATAGAAGTCCTTAATGATAGAGTTGCTGCACTAGCAAAAAAAGGAAACTGAATGCATTGTAGGAGATTCTACACGTAAGCGGGATAAGGAAATGATTTGTTCTTACATGCTGTGCCATGCCGTGAAGTGAAAGGACTTAAGCAATGAACGCTGGAGGATGGCGGGTGCGTTGGAGCAGGTGTTCGCAAGCCTAGGATGAACACGCCGGGGGCTGTGAAAGTAGCGAAAAGCCAAGGTTTCAGACAACTTTCTTATGAGGAAATACTGATAGGATTGGCCTGCAGCAGGTCCTTATGAGAAGGGTCTATAAAGGTGGGCAAGCTGAAACTATTGGGCAATTCAGTTCATTATATATATATATATATATATGTGTATAAAGCTGGTATTTTTCCACCCACATGTGGAAAGGCGACAATGACTTATTTAGAGTATGCATCTGTCTTCCATTTTACTTATGCGCTCTCTTTACTTAAGGGCATTTGATCCCACTGCATTTTTCATCATTTCTTTTCAGGACAATCATCCTTTAGCCAGCCTTCCTTTATTAGGATATTCACTTACCATTCCTTCTGAATCTGAAAACATTCACAAAGATTATGTGTTCAAGCTACATTTCAAGTCCCACGTGTACTACTTCAGGGCTGAAAGTGAATACACATTTGAAAGGTAAGTCGGTCTTCTGTGAGAGGGAGTTTTGTAAAATTTCAGGAGGGTGGGTTTTTTTTTTTCCAAACAGGTTAGTAGATGCAAAGTCTAGTAAATTGATTCAGTAATACAGGCAAGTAGTTCAGCACAATTAGAGAAAGAACCCTTTAAAAATTTTTAAAGAGATTTTAGACCTGGTAAGGCTAGAACCAAGTGGTTGGTTTTGATAATGTGGTAGCTGTGATGATAGTCATCACGACAAAACCTGGGTGACGTACAGGAATTGCCCAGTCAAAACTGATCAGGCTGGCTGTGCGGGGAGCTCTAGGTCTCAGACGTCAGGACACATGTAAACAGAGCACAGGACTTTGTAGTCGCTCTGCAGAAGAACTTCACTGTCTCTACTGCATCTGGATGGAAAATCTGCACCTGAAATAAAATTCTAATTTTCACAGAAGCAGCCGTTCTTACTCTGTATTTATGCCACTTCAGCATGTAATTTTTACACCTCCCACTGAATTTCAGCTTCATGGAGAGCCGGGGAACAGGCTCTACTCCTCCTAAATAGTGGTTTGAGGTTGTTCATATTGGGAACTAATTTAGCTCTTTTATATAAAGCATTAACATCTCAAAAATCTTAATGACCTCTCTAATTGAAGAAAGCTATTGTTAACTTTTAGCCATGTCAGTCTAAAACTATAAATAACGCGACCTGTGGCAAAGAGGTGATTAAATGAATGAGCAGGAAAAAACATAAAAGCCCTGTCTCAGTTCTCGGAAAAAAAGAAGTAGGAACTGCAGCTAAATTACATTTTTCACTCTAGAATTCAGAGAGGTGGGTCTCAACTGCTCATCACTTGGACCATCCAGAAAAAAGAGAGATGTGAAATCTGCAGACCAAGTAAAACCACTACTAAGTTCATGAATTTGGGGTCCCGCCCCCCCCTCTTTATCCTCTCTAAACCTCCTTTCATAGATGTCCTTGGCAGTCACCTGGATCTGGAGCCTCTTGACTTCGCATAGACTTAGGAGTAAAGTAGCAAGCAAGATGCTCCCGTAGGCACTGAAAATAAAACTGTGTTCGAGGAATAGGGCAGCCTTTATCTTTCAAGAAATCTTCCCTTAGGAATTGACCGTTCTTTTGTTTGTGTCTCTCCCCGTACCTCCTCGCAGATGGATGGAAGTGATCCGAAGTGCCACCAGCTCTGCCTCACGCACTCGGGCTCTGAGTCACAAAGAGCCTCATGCCTATTGACGGCTGAACAAGCCGCCCTGTTGATTGTCCAGCAGCTGCTGATTTTTCTAGAGGACACTTGAAACTCTTTTTTCTCCCTCCAAGTTTAGGAAAACTTACAATTTGGTAAAAGAAAAGAGAGAAGGGAAAAAAAAAAAAAAGTAGTATGGTTTTGCAGAAACTTTCACAATTCCTCAGCAAAACCGTTTAAGTTCTCTGTATGTTCAAACTAGTTACCATCATCCCAGTGGCTGCAGTTCGTTTCATGTCTTGTATTTTGTCATTCTGTGCTGTTTTTAGCTTGTGCCAGTATTAAAATATTGTCCTTATTAGAGTGCCAAATGCCAAAAGACATTTTCTTGCCTCAAAGATTGCACCTAAAAGGCGATTTCACAATCTGAAAACTTTCTCCTCTGAGGCAAAAACTATTTCTTCTCTTTTCATAAAAATATATATTTTTTTTTTACCATGTTAATCTGTAGACTGCTGGATTTTTAAATGTAGATGGACTTTCACAGTATAGAATATAATTATATATACAGCAAGCAGTCTAACAGGAATAAGGTAACTTTCAGATTTCATTTTTTTCCGCCCCAGTCTTTCTACATTTAATCAGCAAGGAATTACTAATTTTCTGTCTTTAACAAGGAAACAGTTTACAGCTTGTTCTCATTGCCCTTTGGGGTTACAAATCCATGTGGTATAATATAAAGTATAGGATTCTTACCTAACCATTTTCTTGGTGCAAGTTGACCAAATTATTCATCTGTTGGCTTTGAAAAGTGAATACTACTTGCAAGATGAAAAAATTTTAAAATAATCCAGTGCAATATTATTTGGGCTGTTAATGTACTGTGAATGGTATGTACAAGAAGAAATTAAAGGCTGTGGTGACATTCTGCTGTTTGTTTTACAAACTTGAAAGAAAACCTGTACGCTACGAGAACCGCGGCTATTTGTGATTAAGTTGTAGAGTGTTTCGGTAACTAAATTGCTGTAAGTTGGAGGTACTACTGAAGCCCCAAGTTTTCATCCTGCCTGCTACACATCCTCATGTGACTTCAGTTTCTTGTTGGAACTTCAGCCTCTCCTCTCCCCCGTGCTCGGTAGATACAGAGCGACAGAGAGAGTCATATAACCAGCGGTGGAAATACCCATTTCATATACCTGGCTTTAACATTAGCTAACACCGTGGTTTGGATAAGCTGTTGGCTCACTCAGATGGTTGGCAGCACTAAGGCTACAATGCTTAAGATGCTTTTCCTTACATTTTAAGAAATATTTCACCGTGAGGGTGACGTAAAACTTCCGTTAATGGAAGGTCGACATGCTGCAAACACATCTAAGGGCCTTTGAGGAAAAGGTGCGAGGCAGAGGGGCCCTCAATCGAGAGGTGGGAAATGAAGCCGGGACAGTTCTACCCCGCTTTTTCTTTGTCTAGCTATTCACTTTGTTAATGGCTTACCTGTGTGCGATGTATAAAATGGCTTACAGCTTTGCTCACAACAAAAGGGAATAAAATACCTCACACTACTATCATACATATTCCTGTGTCAAGACAGTAAAGCCTTCTTTCTGTTCCCCCCCGCCCTGGTCACTGTGCCGGGTTAGTAGCCGTGACTAAATACACCATTCTCGTGTTTCAGCAGTGGGAAGACCTCAAACTGGTCACTTCAAGAGACTTATTCGTGTTGTTGTTACTACTTGCCATGAATAATCAGTTGCTGGCTTCAAATAATGAACAAATAAAAGCAAAACAGAAACTTTATTGCCATAGGAAGTTGCGCCACACACAACAGGATCACCAAAGCCTGGACCCCTGTGGGGCTTTTTCTCCACAAGACTAAGCATCTCCATCCTTTCTCTGCTAACTTAATTTTCATTAAGATGTGAGTTTTTATTATTATACCTCTTTCTTTTCACAAAATTTTAATTAAACAGTGTTGAGCCCTCAATGCCCTTGTAAATTCAGCTGAAAGCAGCCGAAAATTACAGATTGAAAGCCGAGTTAGCAGGTAGGGAAAACCAAGCTGTGATTGCAGAAATCTTGATAAAGGTCTCTGACTACAGAAAAGGGGTCTCACAAGGAAAAGTTGTTTTAGAGCCAAAGCCAGGCACAATATCCTTGGCCATCAGCCAAGAGCAAAACAGAGAAACAGGCAGGACCCAAAAATCCCAACTTTTTGGCCATTTTTTCTTTTTCTACAGGACTAATTACATGGTCTTCTCCCTCAAAAGAAAACATAATTATGGCTGTGCAGATACGCAACTCCACTTGCCAGTGCATGCACACACACAAACATCCCGCCCCCCCACCCCCGGGGCATGGAAAGGTTGGTAGAGAAAAGAAAAACTGGCAATATGTAGCACACATGGTTTTTAACAGGAGAAAATAGCAATGAACACTCATTACAGGAGTGCTGCTGTCACACAGTTTGTCACCGGTTATGCGGGTAATTAAGGATGCGATGTTTGGGGTTCAGCTAACGCAACTTGATGTGAGGACTTCAACAGGGTCACTGGGCTGGCAGGACGAGGAATAAAAAGCAGGTTTTAAATCCTTACCATCTGTAAACTGGCACGTTGTCTTGCTGTAGGACAAACTGTAATACAGAACTGCACGAATTTAACCTAAACAGAACACTGTCAATCACCTGTATGATTAAGGGTTTTTTTTTTATCTACACAAGAAAAGAACTAAACATCCCACATGGTTAGGCCATCTGTGAGATGCTTACCAAGTTCCCCAACAGAAAAAAAAAATAGTTCTCAACTTTCAGAAACTGGTGTTTGAGTTTAAACAAGCGTTTTCTCTTGTACAAATTGAGATTACGACATGTACAAACTGAGATTATGCCAATGAAAAAACAACACTGATTTATAAACCTTCTGCTTACCATTACTGACACATGGGCAGTAACTGAGCTAGAAGCCCCTGGGATTATCCCCTCCTGGGAAGAGTCCCCCACATCTCATCTTACTGACCACACAGACGGCAAAGCATCGTTAAACTTTTCCTTCTTTATTTCTAGGTCATGTAATTTACAAGGAGTTTTATTACGTTGGAGTAGAGTGACAAAAAGTATAATTTAAATACACAGTTATAAACAGGCAGCAATATTACAGAAAACAAGATGATATACACTTTAACTGTCCTCTGTAATCATGCTTGAAAAGAAGGCAGAAAACCATTACATACCATTTGTCTGCTGCGTACGCTCAGTGCAATTACCAGCACATCTGCAAACTACCGTTAAAAAAAGAGCAAGGTTGCAGATTTGTGCTATACTTTAAGCTTCTCCTCAGCAACTTACAAAAATAATTTGTGATTGTACTGATCCCTGTGTTATCCCTGTGCTTATCAGCACTTCTGCTCATCTTCCACTGGTGACATTTTTGAAGGCAAAAATCCATTTCCTGAAAAGAAAGGCTAATGTAAAACTTATTACAACCTGGTACCACTTGTTTAAAAAAATAATATGGAACGCCACGCAGAGCCGTACGAGCTACATGAGACACTGCACAGGCACAGTAAAAGCACTGGCAGATGGAGGAGTTAGGGTGGGTAAAGTGAAGTAGGTCGTGCCCTCACACCGTGCCAGCTACTTTGCAGTTAAGTGCCAATGCGCACACTCTTACCTGCCCCCTCTGCCCACCCTCCTGTGCAGCGAGGGTTACCACCACCATTAAATCATTCCGCAGGAACTGGTTCATCTGTCCATACCCACACGGACATGCACAAAATGTCTGGAGCTGCAAAGGAACGATCGCACTTCAGGGAAGGAGCTGCTTTGTTCAGAGACCAAAAGAGTTCTGTGCGACGGCAATCACGCCATCGTCCTTTAGTAAAGCAGTGATCAACTACAAAGTGCAACTGCAAGGAAAATTAAGTTAAAAAAATAGATTACACATCTGATAGACACTTACAAAAAGCAAGCCTTCAGTTCAAATGACTGGTTTTATTTTTTTAAAACACTGAGTTTATTTACTGCCTAATCTTGAAATCCCTGACAAATAAGCAGTTCCACTAATTTAACTGTTTGCATAAATAGGGATAGCTTGTCGCTTACCATACTCAAGACTGAGTGAAGAAGCACTACCTGCACAGAAAAATCATCAGTGCAACATTATAGCACAGACACGTTTTTAGCATGAAACAACTTCTCAAAAATATCAATACACTTTTTTTTTTTCAGAAAGAGGCCACACTTCTTTCAAATGAAGCGCCTCTTCTGTTACCAATATAGGTCTGATTTTTAAAGTATCAATACTTTTCAAAGCAAATGATTTTATTTTACATTCAAGATACAGCACGCTTTTTTTCAGTGAATCTCAGTTTAAGATAGTCTATATTTAAATAATCTCTATATTACATATAAAAATACGTATCTTTTTACCATAAATGAGGTCTTATCTTTTTCTAAGTGCCCTAGCCTTTTGGCCAATTGCCCTCGCTGTCAGTCTTTCTTAAACTCCTAAACCAAAGGACACATTCACTAAGCAAATTCTGCCACAATCGCCAAGCAAATTCTGCCACAATCTACTCAGAGAAGTATTTCCTCAACATACAGTCCTGGAACGCAAACAAAATGCAACTCAAAAAAAAAAGTATGCATAACTTTTTAAATGATTGTTCAAAAATCGTGTACCTCAGAATTTAATTTAATTTTCTTATTGAGAAATTGTTGCGATTCCAGCCAGCACTGTAAATTTAACTTCCCCGCTAAAGCAGAGTTCTGTGCATCTCCACGTAAGCTCATTTTATTTTCAAGTCCTTACATTAACAGATGACTGGGGAAAAACTTCCATTAATCTATTTATATTTTGAAATACAAAACCACATCTGTTTATTTCCGTATGCTGTAACGGCACATATTTATTGAATGGCTGAATGTTCTAACATTGAGGTGTCAACAGGTAAAAACTTTCCGTTGAGCTGTATTCAGATGTGCATTTCACAACAGGAAAGCTAAATTTGTTTCCTCAAGGGTAATGTTTAAGAGCATGCAAAACAACATATTTAAAGGTGTTATAAGCAAGCCATTGCTCAAACTTAGGCATTGGTCAATTTACCTTAAAATCACTTAGCTGTAAAGGAAAAACCATTACTTCATTATGCTGGCAAAGGTGTGGTGTCTACAAATACGGCTACAAGAAGGAGTGCACGTACACCCACTGCTTTCAACAGTTGTTTCAACCTGGTCAGAAGGTTCAGTGTCCTCATACTGTTAAATTATTACATTAATAATTAAGGCTATTAATATGCATAGAATAAGGGCTATCACAGTGATATGAAGTCCTGTGAGGAGACCTCACCAGCTTCCAGAATGGTTAGAGAACCTGGGTCTTTTTGTACCAAGCCAGGTAGATAACGCCTATACTTTTAAAAATTTAAGCCTTTTCGTTCCAAAACTTTTTTTTTGTTTTAAATTAAATAAATAAGTTACCTCACTGTCATGCAAAACATAAAATCATTGCTTTCTTCATTAAAAACAAGGCAAAAGTGCTCTCTCAGCTACCAGAATAAGAAGCACCTGAAGATAGCCTTGGTGAAACAAACCAAGGTAAACCTCAGAGTAATACTGCAACAAAAAAAACAATGCCACCTACACAACTGTGTGTGTAACTAATGTTACTGTTTCCAAGAACTATAAAACTTTAAGTCAGCTATCTAGGAGCACTCACAGGAACAGTGTAAATTCCAAAATTCAGAATTTTCCAGGAGTAACATTTTCCTGGGGAGACAAGTAATAGGACATAGCATCCAGCACTCAGGCTCAGTTTGGCAGCCTTTCTGTCTAACGTCTGTCACTTCCGGTAAAGAGATGCACAGATTTAGGCAGCAAGACCAAATAATGAATCTATGGATAATTTTTCTTTTACAGCGCAAGACATTAATTTTAATGATTAAAAATAGGCATGATGAAGAAATACTTGCCACTATCTCAGAGCCAATGTCTTAATGAGATATTTCAGAATAAATGAAGGTAATAAAGATTTATTTGGGTGAGCGTTCAGATATGTTCAGGTGAAAAAAAGATTGTCTCAGAATTTCACTACAAGCTTCACAAACATCTGTTACTAAAACTGAACAATACATAGGGTTCAGAATTTGCATTGGCACAATCTAAAACTGAAAATATGAAAGCTCATTCCTTAGGAAAAATAATAATTTAAATTTAAAGCTTTGAGAAACAAGTTGTGTTAAATTTAAAACAACTGGAATTAGTACCATAATTAGAAAGTCACGCTCAGAATACAGATAAAAAAAGGAAGAAATACTGGAGAAACAGAATAAAATTGTGTCTTTGCTGAGGTACGAAGAGAAGGTTCCATAGTACAGGATTAACTCTTTCAATGGCAAATCCTTCACATACAAAAATCAAATCAAGATTCACTTCTCATGTAATTCAACATTTACATGTAATAAAGGCAAGGCAATACTCAGTTATGGCCTGTCAAATATTTACCCCACTAACATTATCTACAAAAGCACTTTACCAATTTGTACACAGTGATTCCTTAAGCACGTTGAAAGGCTTTCAGTTAAAAAAGACATTATATACAGATCTGTACACAATTCCAACAAACATACTCCATCTCCCAGTGGAATTCTTAAAGCAAGATACCTGAGGTTTCTCAATATCTTCAATTTCTCTATCACAAACGTAAATATACATTTCAGATTTTACAAAAAAGACACCTCCCTGGAATATGTGCATTATCATTAAAAAAGAATTATAGCTTTAAGGAGCTGAGAAAGACTGCCTCCAACCAAGAGGCTTCATTTTCACTCTTGCACATTTAGGAATGTGCTTCCACCAACGGACATTCCAGTGACCGAGGGGCAGAGCAACGTTCGGGTGCGTGCCTTCAATGCAGACACTGTGGGATCTCTGTTGTCTTAGAAAAGTCAAAACCAGCACATCAGTAGGATGAAGTACTTCCTCCAGCTAGCGAATATCTGAAGAGGAAAACAAATATTTATTATTGTGACTTTCAGGAAGGCGTTCTACAACAAGCAGCAACCAAAAGTTACTCTATTTTATCCTGTTGAAGCTCCAGCCTTTTTCCTTGCAGAATGACACCCAGCACTGCTGTCACACTTTAAAGAAAAAAAAGCCATAGAGCTGAACAACACGTAAAATACACCTTACCAGAATTTCACTGCTTTTCTAACAAATAGCAACAACATGTGTTCAAGTGCACTACTGAGAAGTATATGATGACGTAAGAATTCTGTATACTGGGGGCAACATTTAGTGATTCCAACTTTCCTACTTGGCGAGTTTACATCATAATCTTTCCCAAATGTTACTGGGGCAGGAAACCTATATTTCTTGGTCTAAGCAGATTCTTAAATAATCCAAAGAAAGAAGCACACATTTAAGCTTTCAATAAACTTTATAAAACATCAGAGCTCAAAACTGGAGGGAGAGGTTAAATGGATTCACTCAAGCTATTGGGCAGCTC